TGGACTCAAAAGAAAATCACCCATTCCTATCTTGAGCCAGGAATTTTTATCTGTGGTGAATACACACACTTATCACCAATTACCAACATTCCCCCTTCACTTGGTGGAAGGACAGTCCACCCCTATTCATATTCGAACCTTGCTGTTTTTTCTGTTCCATTCTGGAGTATTCCAGTATTCTTTTAAATAAACATTCGGCAGAAAAGGGTAAACATATAGCTGAAGGAAGAATTGTATGAAGAAACTAACTGGGTAAGTGGTATCTCTTTCAGGCCCTATGTCTAGTCATATGTAATTTTTTAGAAGTTTCTGGGGAATTCAAATACTTTTCACAAGAGCTTGAGATGCTCCCTGCAGGAGCAAGCCAAAGGCCTATGTAAACCAGCATTAGATTCTTTGACCAATTTGATGCTTATGAGAAGTAAATGCAAAGGTCATGAACAAAATATACCTTCCTCATCAGCTATTATGGGTGCTGGAAATAATATACAGCCTTACTCTGCATTTCTTTAACTTTAAGATACTCACATTGACAGCCATCATTGTATCTTATAGTAGTAAAATTCAGAGTTTACTATGACCAAGAAAAGTAGTCTTTCCTTTTACCTGTTACGAATCTCTCAGCTCTGAACTTACTTGAATGACCCGGGTCCTAGTTTTCCGAGAAAGCTTGGGAAACCTCTTCTTATTCACTCTTGCTATACCAATTAATTTTATGGACCACTATCATCACTCCTTACCACTGATGTTTTAAATGTTATTGTTCTTCAAGCTTGATTTATTCCCTCAGTTATTTTAGTGGTTCATTTAGTTGCACTTTTTCCAATTATACAATATCCATTTTGACGTACAGCAAGCATAACTGTACAGAGTATTGCAGGTATGGCCACACCATTGACTTATATAAAAATACTACAATAATAACAGTTAAAAAAAAACAATAGTTTTCCTAATGATGCTATGACATGGACTTTATTGTATTTTTTTCACAGCTGCTATTCATTGTGTCATTATATTCTATTTTGCACACACAGAGGACAAAGTGTGCTTATTATATCTAAAGATACTTGAATACCACAGAAACTATTAAGAATATACCACAAATTCAAATGATTTTTATTTATCATTAGTGCTTCTATCAATTTGCTTTTTTCAATGCCTTTTTTAGTTATAGGCACAATACAGATTAATGATATCGCACCAACATGCCTACTACTTTACAGATGTGGGCCAAAAGCACAGATATATTATAAGTGCTACCAAAACTAGTAACTCTAATTCTTCCTCCAACTATCCTACCAAATCATAAAACAGAATATATGAAGGAAAAGTGGGTGAGAGCAAGGGGAAGACCAAAGAAGTCGTAGTTGGAATGAATTAATGAGATCTTCAAAAGGAAAGAGGTGACAAGTTTAAAGAACAAAATGCAATGTATGAATCACTGTGTGGACATTATAAAAGCTTGAAGTACATAAGTATAAAAGTACTGAAAGGTATAAAGAGATAAACAGTGTGGGTATAAACTCTGCCCTTCAATTCTTCCCCAAATTTTAGAAAATTTGCCATAATCAATAACATTCAATGTGTAATTTGAAATTAAATTAAAAGTACCATCTTCATTCACTTCCAAAATAATAGAAGGGATGGAGCAAATCTTAATTCTAAGTAAGGGGACAGCATTCTACAATCCCGAGCAGCAACTGAGTAAGTGCACCTCCAGGCCTCCTTACTTCATGAAAGTGGGGTATGACCAAAAGCTTCTCCCAGGAAAACCATACCAGATGAACTGATTCAGGAAGGAAAAGGCAGTCCTGCAGGTCGTTATGTGCCAAGCCATCTATGCCTTTATAGAACAAAACCAGAAGAGCAGATTTCCAATGGGGCACCAACACTGCTATTGTCCAACCAGGTGTTAGTAATATATAGCCAGGTCTGCTCACTCATTCACTACCAAATCATGGATGAGCAAGATTAGTTTTATTACAGATGGACCTGGCATTTATCCTCAAGATTTGAGGTATTTATGGACTTTTCTGAATGTCTGCATTTTTCTAAATAACATTTGTCCTTCTGCCAATCAGAGATTTCCCAGATCTAACAATATTTCCCTCTTCTGTGTGAATTTAGCAATATAGTCAAGAGCACACAGAGCCTGGTGTTATATAAGCCCTACTACTTCTGCTTTCTTTTAAAAAGTTCATATGACTAGGAAAGAGACTTCATAAAACCAGTACGATATCTAACAACTTTCCTTTTGTGAACTGAAGATATCATGGCATGTGACTTTTCCCATTCTTGCAAGAAAGTGATTCTACATGACTTGATGATTCATTCAAGTGGCATGCTTCACACCAGCAGTGGACTTTCAAAATTGAAATTATATATATAATCCAAATTTCTTTCTGAACTATTGCCAAGTAAATATTTCTGGCCACCAAAGAATTCTATAAACAGTTACATATATTGTGTTTTGTTTAGAATTCATATTGTAGCAATTTCATTGTGTTCAATAATACTAATATTAGGTCAGAGGTAAATAGCTATTCCTTATACAATTGGCTTTAAATCAGAAGAAAGAGCACAAAAAACCCTCTTTCATATAATTATACCCAGAATTGCAACTTCTCAGAACCATGAACTCTTCCTGTTCTGAACAAGAAAGCTCTCAACAGGTGGCAATTTTCCATTAGATCTGATTAATTTTTTACAGCAGTTCCTACTAGGATTTTCAGTATTTCTACTCATCATGATTTCATTTATTTTCATTTTAAAAAGTATTCATTTCTGGCTCCATATAAAAAGAAAATAAATTAAAAAAAATTATTTCTGGCTTAAGAAAATAAGGAAACAAAAAAAAACTAACAGCGTTTCTCTGCAGCTATTACAGTTTTTCAACTAATAAGGGTATTATCTTTTTGTCTCCCACTCCCTGAAAACAGTAGTGATGAGATTATATGAAATATACCCTATACTACTAAATAACCCCCAAATATTGCATTGTGATCAACTGAAGCCACAAAATAGCAACCCCAAATAAAATTGAGTGGGGGAAAAAAGGGATTCAGAATCCCTCTACTCATTTTGCCAAGACAGCACTCCACACAGAAAACATACGTAAGTAGCCACCTTTACTGACTGGACAGAGAAAATTCAGCATTCAGTGAAAGGGATTATGAAAAATTGAACCTAACTTTCAAAACAAGGAGGATGACTGGTTAGTGGCCTGTGCACCAATGGCCATTTTTTAACTGAAACAACCAGGTTTATTGCAATATTATTCCCTCCGTACAGGAAGACAGAAGTCTTTTCCTATAGCAGCAATGCCTGTCATGGATGCTTAAAAGGTCCATACTACATACATCTCCCCGATAACAGCATAGCACCAGTGCTGCTTCCACAAAAGAAATGCAATCCTAGAAAAGGTTTTCATGGCTTTTGTACAAGGCACATATCACTTTGGAAGATTCCATGAAATCTCACCCCTTTTAAAAAACAAAGCAAAAATATGGTCAAATATTTTGTCAAGTATCCTTCTGCTTAATGTGGGAATAGAGCATTATACTACCAAAGATATGAACTCCAGTATTTTTGTAATATTTTTAAAGTATCACAAAATTACTGAAGTTCATATCTTTCATAGTATATTAATAATATTCATTCATTTTGACATCAGCGTCAAAATCAGACTGAGCAACTTCAAATGTGTGGAGCAGAAGCATTCACATCTGTCTACCCAGAAGATCAAGAGATAGAATAAATAAATGCGTAGGAAGTTTAGACAGCTTCCTGAAGCCAAATTCTTGTAATTTGTTGTTCAGTTTATAAGAACATAGGCATGGAAGAAGGGGGAAATTAGGAGGAATTTTGAAAGAGTTGCTGCAAGTTTCTAGGGAACTTTTATGGTTTCAGCTTCATATATTTCCTCTTTTCTTTTTTTTTGAAAGATTTTACAACTCACAATTTAATCAGCCCCTCATGACCAGCTGCAGTATTTCACAGCTGGTAGCAGCAAACTCTACAACTCTGGGATTTTTAAACCAGTCATTGTGGGAACTGTTGGATACTTTATTTCGGCATGGATTTGAAAGCATATCATCACTTCTGAATCATCTGAAAAACTACCAAACTCTGTGTACTGGTAAGAAGTTACTATACATATTATTTGTTTGAGGTTTTTTAAATACCTATTGTCGTCAAAATGCTTAATCCCAAATCTTGCCATATGATTCCAGAACAGCTGACTAGAAAAAGATACTTGAAACACGACAAATGTGTAGATGTATGTTGATTATTTAATCATATTACTGGTACTGTATATTTTATTTTAACAAACAGTATTTCGACTATATTCAGATCCAAGACCATAATAAAGGTTGTTATTGTTTAATCTCAAGCAATTTAAAAGTAGCAATGAGAAGCAAAGACACATGTTAAGTTACAGATAAAAATAAAGAAAAGATTTAGCTGTTCATTATTAGCTATACATTGCATTAAATATAGCTTCCCCGAACAAATTACTAAAACCAGTTAATTTATATCCCATCTTTGTACCCCTGATACTTTAAAAAAACTTTGAAAAGTTAAATCTGGTTGCCCTTGTATTAAACGTTGCTTCCAACTCAAATATATTCAGCATAATTAGCTGTCTACTTATAGTATTGAGACGGGATGAGCATTTAACTTAAAAAAAAAAAAGATTTTGGGAAAACATAAAAATGGAAAACAGGAGTTGTATGTGCATCTGTGGAAAGCCAGAAAGGCAAAAAGCAGCACAATTAGAAGAAGCAGCCAAGCAAAGACACTTTGAAAACACTAATCACTGGACTTGAGGATAAGGGTTCTATACACTTACAACTGTCTACTAAGCAAGTTCGGCGTGGAGGTCAGTGTTACTGAACAGATGAATATTCAGTACTAATGTAGCACTGTCAAGCAAAGAATATAGTTCGTGCTGGTTATTATTTTATACAAAAATATTGCCCACACATTGTTTAAATAATAAAAATAACATAGGAGCAAAATGTTTAAATAAACAATTCATTGTTAGATCCCCTTCTCTTTCTGTAAACTTCATACTTGGCAGAATCATCATGGGTTTCTGACATCAGAGCAGTCCAGTGATCCCAAAGCTCTGCAGGGCAGAAATGAGGAAGGAGAGGCTTTTACCATGAACTGGATGCACAGTAGAATATTTTAGAGGCAAGTTTGAACTGGAGACCAGGACACATTACATTGGCTTACTGACAGCACTAGAGGCAAAGGCAGGTCTAAACAAGGGAGGGGCTTACAGACCCTCTTTACAGACTTACGCAACTCAGAATATACACGTGATGGGATATGGCAGCCAGGTATTTCATTGCATATAACACATATTGTGACTAGCGAGGTCAGTGAGGCCGTTAGGGTATAATTGTGAAGTAATAGGGCAGGACTACAAAGACAATGGGCTGTTGGAAGCAAAAAACAACAAAAAAGAGGCAGTACTTCAAGAACATAGTTTCTTTCTAGGAAGTGACTCTTTTTTGTTTTCCCTGCTCACTTTCTAGCTTATGAGCATTCCTTGGCCTTCTAAATGGCTGAGCTAACAAGTTTAGTTTTCCTGGAAATATGTTTTTGTAATGGGGGATGTGGCCCAATTTAACACCATATACTGAACCAGTGCTTTCTTTTCCCTGGGAAGATGTATTTGGGTTAGGGGCTTTTAACTGGGCCCCTAATTCTACTTTGGATGCTAAAGTTGGTCTAAATGCTACTCTGGTTTGCAAGCACAGAAATGGAATGGGTCTACATTTTCTCCCAGGCCACACTATGCTAAGCTCCCACCCAAATTAATATTGGTATTGAGTTCCTAACGTTGAAACCAACCAGTCTTGAAATATCCCAAAAAGTTCTATGGCATTAGTGTCTCCCACCTCAGGATTAAGACCTTTTCTCTGACCTTAATTTGAGTGAAGGAAATGGATCTACAATATATACGTAATCCCATGCAGTGTTTATTTCTGTAATCTCTTTAGCCTTCTGATCTCCAAAGCCAAGTTCCATTGTATAAATATCACATTTTTCTTCTAACTGTTCCTTCATTTTTATGCCACCTCATTAAGTTTCCAGCTGAAAATGACAATCACAGAAACTTCCCATGTATGCAGAAACATTCTTCATGAATCCATTTATGAACAGATCTGTGTTTTTGGTAGTCCTGTGTAATAGTTGCCATCATGTAACTTGTCAGTTAATGTGATTTAGCTAAAGGAAGGAGATTTTTTAAAAAATGAAACCCAGTGAAGCTATCAACACTGTTCACTATATTTCTTGATATCTTTCTATTCTTGTATAACATCTTTGCTTCTACCACTTTCATATGCTTCATACATTGGCTTTTGTTCTTTAAACTTCTCATTTTTTTCCTAACACATCAACTCCACCCAGCTACTGCTTTCTTGGTCTTGTTCTTCCTCTCATCTTCTCAATCCATTTTATATACCAACTTTGCAGTTCAGTCCTCATTCATCTACTACATACTTCTTGTAGTAGATGAAAAGACAGCCATTTTCACTTATTTTAAGAAACATTCATCCCTCAAAAAAAATTGCATATTACTCACTACCTTTCCATCAGCATTTCCACATCTTAAAATTCCCCATCCGTTTTCCAGTTTCTAATAAACATTTTACCAAGGTACACAAGTTCATCTACTTACTCTAATTTTTCAGCATTTATGTTTAACTTGGATTCAGTCACTGCATTTCTGAACAACTACCTTGTTCTGATACATACTTTTTCAGATCCATATTGCTCATTACATCATATTCAAATGTAAATCTATTTTACATTTGATATCATTGTCCCAGGGAAGAGAAGTCTTGTCTTGTTCTTCTAGGATACTGACCTTCAGGTGGCAGATTCTTTAAGGGGAAAGCTAATTCTGCAGCTCCCCACCCCACCCACCCCCAGTAACCAATACAAAGTATGCAGTCTGTCCCCTTTCGCTTTGTCAGGACACAAGTTTTATGTAAAGCATTTAGTTGCTTGGGTTTTTAATTTATCTTTGTGAACAATGAAGTGATGGGGTTGTTCTCCTGCAAGACCTTCAGAAGCTCAGGGTAGTGATTTTTGCTGTTTCTTCTCAGCCTAAGTCTGTTGAAGGAACTATTGCTAAGATATATAGATATATAGATATATTGATATATAGATATATAGATATAGATGTGCACACACACACATATTATACATTATATTAGAAACATCATCATTTTAATAGGGCTTGCTTTGGATGGGATTCCAGGATTTTAAGGGGAGAGATGTCTTAAACATCTCAAAACTTCAGGCACCCTTTTTTTTCTTAACCCTAAACTATTTTAAAAGGGCCAAACCTTAATTCAGTTAGCTAAAATGTGAGCCAAATACTTCCCTTACATTCAAAATATTTTTCCATAAAAAGTATTACAATTACTTTTGCATCTGTCTCGCAAGCCTACCTTCTAACACATACAGCCAATGAATCTAATGTACCAAACTATTCTAGGCCAGTAAGTGCTTAGGACTTCTTTCTAGACTATTTATCTTTAGTCATTATTTAAATTTATTATAGCTGCCCAACTCCAATGGACTTTTGGAAACTATAGGTTTCCAAAATAAAGAAAGGTTATATTCTTAGTTCTTGCAAAGCACCTCACTGAGGCTTCAAAGGTATTATTGGTATTGATCAAAACCAAATAGCTTGAAAATATGAGTTTAGCTTGAATCTTGACCTAGTATGAATCTATCTATTATTCAATCTAGGTAGACTATTCAACACAATGGAATTCTGTATTTCTAATAAAACTTAAAGCATATGTATTGGCCCAAATGCTTAAAAACCCAGTGGATACCTGAGGATAGCTGAGTTTAGTCATCCCACAAAGCGGAGCTAATGTGCAACAAATACAACTCATTCACAGTTCTGCTGCATAACTACCAAGCTGAAGCTTGCACTGGGTAGGAATCTTCATAGAGAATCTTCAGATATGAAACCAAGTAAGACTTTACTGGCAATCAACACAATATTAAATGGGTATGAAATGCTGACATGAACTGCTTCTTTGCCATAGTTCTCTAAAACCACATTTCCAGCAGTCTTTGTCCTGTAGAACCTTATTCAAAACAACCCCAGTGTATCTTCATCAATAACACTTTTATATTAAGAAAGTTTGCCTATGGTTTTCTTATGCTCAGTGTGTCAAAAGAAGGAGAAATGTTAAAATGACAAAAACTGACTTCATAGACTTATAGCTTAAAAAGGAGACAGGAAGGAAAAGCTGCATTTATGGGAACCGAAACTAGGTTTGGAACATTTATCATGATAGAAACTCCAGTAGTTTCTGAACTATGGTGCTCTGAACAAAAATTCTAACCCAATTATGCTTCCTCCAACTAACACAGGGTCACACAGTGCTTAGGAAAAGATGAGAACACACTGATGGATGTGATAGATTTTATTCTCTATGTGCCTGGCAATGGGTGATACGCATACCTACGCATATGATTTTCTTTATTTTTAAATATATCTCACATTATCATCTTATATTCTAAAAAGTACTTCCCAGTGACGAAGTTTCTGTATGTGCAGAAATAAATGTCCATATTCAGGGGAACTTTGGCTACGTCAGAAAAAATAGTAAACATCAATATCTATTTGCAAAAATAATAATCATATATAGGTCTACATCAGAAGCACAAAATCTGTGATGAGTTATTCTAGTTCATAGATTGTGTTCATTTATGTCTGTATCTATAATGGTCTGTGGGAATGACCTTGACAGAGAGAAGGAAGAGCTGCAGACCAGACAACTGTCATGCAAAAGGTATATCAGCCCACAGAAGGAAAAGGGGTGTAGGAAGTGGCTCAGAAGCAACCCTCTATAATTCTCTGGAAAATAAAGGCAGGGAGGAAGGAAGTGCATTCAGACTTTCAAGAATCTGTTAATGTAATCTTACAATGAAGGTAGTGTTAGTACTCATGGTCTTGGTTCCCTGTCTGGATTACTTCAAAGAGCTGACATCAGTCTTGCAAGTCTGAAAGCACTTATCCCCTCCTTTACTTTTACTTTCCCAAAAACTAGGGAAGGTCCTTTCTGTGGGCTTTTCCTTCCATGGGTTGAGATATCTTTTGCATCACACTTGTCTGGTCTACAACTCTTCCTCCTCTCTCCCAAGGTCATTCCCGCAGACCATTACAGTATTTGCACATACAGCTATATACAGTACATATATATCAAATGAAAAAAAGAGAACCAAATAGGAGCTTAGTAAACACACGTGACAATAAAGAATAAAATTATGACAACCAAAGTGACAGCACATAGCACTGCTTTTTATTCACTGATCTGTTCCTTGTTCTCAAACTCTCCAGTAAATAGGGTATGACAATACCTAAACAAGATGATAAATACATAATAGGGTATTTCTAGTTTTTCAGCATTTCCAAATCATCTGGGATCATCAATATTCAAATATAAATAATTTCACATGTGTGAGATTTCAGACATTTACTGAAAAGTTCTTTTACAAATAGGTGAAGTTGAGAAATGTTTTAAAAAATGAGAGCACACCTTCTAAAGCTGCCTTGTAAGAGGTGAGCTTCTGAACCATGGAGGAACCAGGAATGAATACTTCCTATTATTTATGTATTTGTTAAAATATTTATATGTTACTGAGCCTATAGAAAAATAGACAACCTTGGCAGAACTTGAGAAAGCTCAGCAGAGTTACTACTGGTTAATACTGGACTGGGAAACAACTAGGAAATAAGAGGATTGGAAAGTTGAAAAAAATAACCCCTAAGAATACAATGGCAAATGACTTCCTTATTTTCATTAAGAAAATTACAAGGACATGTCCTCAGGAGCTGGCTTCAACTCATGGGAGTCTTATCTTTTATCTGGAAGCTAGAGAGTTATCTTGTATGGCTTCTGTTCTAGAAAGCCTACTCTGGATCCTACACTGGTACCATCATCTATTAGATCAATGGTACACAATTTTTCCAGACCAAGAGCTGTGGACTTTCAGCATCATGCCAAGGCTCAGACTTTAAAAAGAAGGTGGGGCCAGGGCGATGTAGAGAATATGACCAAAACAAACATGAATTATACTTGT